TTTTCTAACTTGTGGGCCACTGGATTATTTTTGTTTTCCTTTTTAGTTCTATCCCAAGTAAGATAGGGGGCCCTGAAAGTTTCCCATCTCCTCCGTGTGCTCTGCACAGCTTACAGAGTGGCTAGCAGACCGTGACAGGAAGAGGTGGGGGCAGGAGGTCTGGAGAGGGGCAGGGCCAGCGTGGTGGCCATGGGGGTGGTGGGGAGTCAAATCCTAGAAACTGTAATAGTCCTGCCCAATTTCTTATCTCTGTACCCACAGATTAGAGCATGTCTTGGCCCTCATCAGACACGCTTCTTTTTGTGGTAGACTCAGATTTAGTGCAGAGTCCCACAACTGTCGAGTTGTAGAGTGTATGAATGTAAATGCCGTCTCCGTGTGCCATACCCCCTCCCTCCGAGGTTCAGGGATCATTCTAGAAGAGTGGGTGAAAGAATGTAAGGGAGAGAGGGTTACTGTCACGACATGGGGCTCCACGGGAGCCCCCAGCCGCTGTGACTGCCTGCACAAGGTCAAGGGGGCCCAAATCCCAGTTTGTGTGAAGGGAACCATGACGAGTAGCTGAGGACTCCTGGGACAGACAGCCCTGAGAGGCCGCCTGTACTTCCTCCTGTGGACGGTTCCATGCCACACACACATGCGTAACACCTAATGGATCCAGTGAATATTACATTAAAGTGGGCAGGGGAGGCTGGAGAGATGGCTCAGTGGTAAAGAGCACTCACTGTCTGCTTTCCCAGAGAACCTGGGTTTGATTCTCAGCACCCACTTGGTGGCTCACAACGTCTATCACTCCCGTTCCAGGATATCCCACTGTGCTCTTGTGGCCTCTTGGGGCACCAGGCACGCTCCACGGTATACAGAGGTACACGCAGACAAAACACGTACACACGTAAAGTTAATAGTAGTAGTAGTAATAAAAGAGCACATGAAGTTGGTGTAGCAGGTAGAGAAGGAATTGGAGGGGAGAGATTGGGGGTGGATTGGATTAAATCACACTAGATATTCTCTGTGTAGCCCTGGCTGTCCTGGAACTCACTCTGTAGACCAAGCTGATCTAGAACTAACAGAGATCCACCTGCCTCTGCCTCCGAGTGCTTGGACTAAAGGCGTGCGCCACTACAGCCAGGAGAATGATAAAATGTTTTTAAAAACATATTAGCAGGCTGGAGAGATGGCTCAGAGGTGAAGAGCACTGACTGCTCTTCCAGAGGTCCTGAGTTCAATTCCCAGCACCCATATGGTGGCTCACAACCGTCTGAAATGATATCTGGTGCCCTCTTCTGGCTTGAAGGGATACATGCAGACAGAATAATGTATACATAATAAATAAATCTATTAAAAACAAACAAACCAAAAAAAAAAACCAAAACAAAACAAATTAACAATCAAGGTTTCTCTGTGTAGCTTTAGAGCCTGTCCTGGAACTCACTCTGTAGACCAGGCTGGCCTTGAACTCACAGATCCACCTGCCTCTGCCTCCCGAGTGCTGGGATTAAAGGCGTGCGCCACCACCGCCCGGCAACCCTTTTTTAAATTGTGGAAAGATTAGTGAGAACCTATCATAGTTGCCCATGCATCTATTACAGAGCTTCAGGGCACTGGGAAGAGTCCAGAAGAGCTGAGCAGCTGGGAGCTGGGGAGGGGCGGGTCACCGGGAGGAGTCCGAGCTCAGGGCGGGTCGGCTCGGGAAGAGCCAATCCGGGAGGAGTCAGCTTGCAGCGGGCGCTCCGGGATCACGTGGTCGCGACTGCGCCCTCTCGCGGCGGCGTGCGCGCAGCGATGGCGGCGGCCGCGGAGCAGGGCGGCTGCTCCGTGTACTTCTGCGGGAGCATCCGCGGCGGGCGCGAGGACCAGGCCCTGTACGCGCGGATCGTATCGCGGCTGCGGCGCTATGGGAAGGTGCTCACTGAGCACGTGCCTGCTGCAGAGCTGGACTCGCGCGGTGAGGCGGCGCGGGCTGGAGACCCGCAGACTGGGGACCTGCAAGTTAAGGGGACTGGCTGCCTAGGGACTTGCGTGCTAGGGGACCCGCAGGCTAGGGACCTGGAGGTTAGGGACTCGCAGGCTAGGATCTTTAAGTTAGGGGTCTGGCTGGCTGAGGAAGTCCCTGGCTTATGACTCTCCTGCAAATGCACGCCCCATCCAGCACTCTGGCGGGGCCATGCGAGCTCGTCCCAGCACACTGAAAGCCAGTGAGAGCCCAGACCCAGCGTATGGCCAGCAAGGCTTTGAGGGTTGATCTGAACTCGTAACTTTCAAAGTTGTACCTAGAACTCTTGTACTTCTGTTCAGAAAACTGTGAAGTGGTTTTCCCTTGCCCCACACAAGAACAGACTCATAAGGTGTGGGCGCTAATGCAATCCTGGGAGAAACTTTTACAAGACAAAGATCCACAAGGCAGAAATGCTAGCGGATTGAAAAGGACCCGTTCACGTTTATGGTTGGCTAGCTCATGGTGTATTTGGTTGATAGCCCTCACCTTTCAGTTCCAATCCCAGCACTCTGGAGGCTGAGGTAGGAAGAGTTCCAGGCCAACCTGGGCCACATAGTTAGACAATGTCTCAAAGAAAAATGAGACCAAACAAAAAGACCACCGAGTGTGATAGCCCGGGGGAAAGCCTTTGGATCTGTTTTTTGCTGTGGTTACTTTTCTTCCCTTTTTTTGAAACAGGGTTTCTCATGGAAACCCATAGTGACCTCAGACTGTCTGTGTAGCAGAGAATGACCCTGAACTATTCATCTTCCTGCCTCCCCCTCCCAAGTACCACCCACACAGAGCTTGCTCGCTTTTTTGTGGGTTTTTGTTTTTAGACAGTTTCTCTGTGTAGCACTGGCTGTCCTGGAACTCACTCTGTAGACCAACTAACTGGCCTCGAAATCTGAGATCCACCCGACTGCCTCTGCCTTCTGAATGCTGGGATTAAAGGCATATATCACTACCACTCAACTTGTTTTGTTTTTGAGACAAAGTCTGTCTGTGTGTCCCTGGCTGCCATGGAACTCACCAAAATCCACCAGCTTCTGCCTCCTGAGGCTGGATTATGGATGTGTGCTACTGCTCACAAATGACCCTTTTGACAAGGCGTTTCTGCTCTGCCACCAGAACAGCCTCACCATCCTGAACAGTAGCATTTATTCAAGCTGGAAGCTGAGACCCTGGCCCCCTGACCCCAGCCATGTCCTGGATTCATAGTGAATCGGCTCTTTCCACACACTTGTAGAGCCCCAATTGCAAGCACACTGCCAGCTTAGACAGGGTTGGCTTCTCTTGGGGTGTCCCAGTCCTCACCCCTTTGGCAGACTCCTCTCCTGGGCTGGCCTTTGGAGGTCCTGGAGCACAGTACCTGAACTGGCGTGGGAACATCCTTGACCTCAACCCTCAACCACAGGGGAAGCTGCCGGGGGCGACCGGCTCATCCACGAGCGAGACCTGGCCTGGCTGCGGCAGGCAGATGGTGAGCAGTCCTCCTTCCTCTATGCGGGCTCCTCTGGGATGGTAATTCCTGGGGTGTCCCTGGCCTCCACACCTAGAAGGGACTTCTTCCCCACCAGATACACTGTCATCCCGTCCTTCAGGTCCCAGCTAAAGTCTTACTTTGCTCTCTTTCCAGTGGTCGTGGCCGAGGTGACACAGCCCTCCTTGGGTGTTGGCTATGAACTGGGCTGGGCAGTGGCTCTTGGTAAGCAGATCCTATGCTTGTTCCGACCGCAGTCTGGCCGAGGTGAGCATCCTTCCTGGCTTTCTGGGAACCCGTTTCTCCCTTTCCCAGTGGGCTGGGCGGGGAGCTGAGTGTGGACATGGAGTCAGCTCTACTTCCCCTCCCCAGTACTTTCTGCCATGATCCGGGGAGCAGCAGATGGCTCGAGGATCCAGGTGTGGGACTACACAGAAGGAGAGGTGGACGGCCTGCTGGATCGGTACTTTGAGACTTATCCTCCTGAGGGCAAAGCCACCTCCAGTAACCCAAGTACCTGACCTAACCCTACTTTATTAAAAAATAAATAAATAAATAAATAAGGTTTTTTATGTGTGTTTTGACTGCATGTATGTATATAACCAAATGAATACCTGGCACCCACAGAGACCAGAAGAGGGCATTGGATTCTCTGGAATTGGCATTAGAGATGGTTGTCAGCCACCATGTGGGTGCTGGGAACTGAACCCAGGACCTCTGCAAGAGCAACAAGTGATCTTCACTGCTGAACCCTCTCTGGCCCTGGCCCTGGCCCTACTTTGTTAAATCCTGACCAGACACTTCTCCAGAATCACTCCAGCCTCAGCCTCAGTAGTCAAAAAGGTTCATTTAGCTGTGGTGGCGCACATCTTTAATCCAGCCCTCAGGAGGCACAGGCAGGTGGATTTCTGAATCCACACAGGTCAGTGTGGTCTACATGTGAGTTCCAGGACAGTCAGAGCTATGCAGAGTGACCTCATCTCAAACAACAACAAAAATGTACAGTGGTGGAGGCGGGACAAGCCCTCAGGAGCATCCTTTTCCATCCTGCTCACTTTAGGGTTAAGCGGACGGAGCCTTGTCATGCACTTTGGGGGACATTTCGAGTATGGCAGGAGGCCAGGTGGGCGGATCATCATGTGTCTCATTTGTGAACTGGGCCAGGGGCACCTGTGCTTCCCTTCGTGAGTTTAGGTCAGTGAGTCTGCTTGGGGCTTTTTCTGAGGATAGAAAAGTCTGGAAGTCTAAAGAGAAGAGTAAAGATGAAGGAGGGCTGGCGAGGTGGCCCAGCTGGTGAAGACGTGAGTTCTATCCCAAGCACCGACATGGAGAAGAGAACTGACTCCCTCGGGTGTTCTCTGACCTCCATACACACTGCCACAGCACGTGTACGTGCACACACGCGTGTGCACGCGCGCGCGCACACACACACACACACACACACACGCACGCACGCACGCGCGCACACACACACACACACACACACACACACACAGAGGCCATCCGAGAACACTGAGGAGTACTCAGCTGCTTCCAGAGAAGTATGTGAAAAAAGAGGTTTATTCAGTCAACAGAAGGCGCTGCTGCAGACACTGGGAACCCCCCCATGGCAGAGGGGGGCGGACTCTGCAGCCCTGTGGCCCTGCCTGGTGGGGCAGCTCCAGGTGTTTCCTGCCCCTCAGTCATAGGACTCATCGTCATCATCCTCATCCCCGAAGAAGAAAGTCTCGCGGTCCAGGTTCTCAGACTCTTCATCGTAGGAGAAGCTGTCGTTGTCCAGTTCCTCATCAAACTCGTGCTGCCACTCGGGCACATCCCCCTCCTCTTCCTCTTCTTCCTCCTCCTCCGCTTCCAGCCCTGCGGAGCCCTGGGGCCTAAGGAGAGCCACCACACTCAGCCGGGTGGGAGCGTGCCTCCCGCCGCCGCCCTCCCCCAGCTGCGCAGCCCACTCACTGATCGCTGGGCACGTTGGATCCTTTCACCTCCCGAGCCTCGGCTGATGGGCTCTGCAGTCCAACCCGGAAGTCCTGACAGGGAGACAGGGGTGCCTGAGGAGCAGAAGGGCAGAGGGCACCAGGCCTCGGCCCGGCATCCCTTCCACTGATGTCTCCTGAGAACCAGACTCCCATGAGCACACCTGCAGTCTGATCCCCGAGGCTCCAGGGGAGAGGACAGTGGCGGAGATCTCTTGCTCCAGTGGCCCCCCACAGCCCTGACCCCCCCACGTAGAAGTATGCTCTAAGAAACCTCTGACTGACTCCGACAAGCACCTGGCTCAAACCCCTGATCTGGGGAAGGCAGCTCCTTTGTAAGAAACCCCAGGAGCTTAACGACACAGCAGACTGGCCCAGAACTCCTAACACCCCTTCCCCAGCAGGGCTGTGCGGGGCTGTGCAGGGCTGCGCGGGGCTGCGCTGTGCGGGGCTGTGCGGGGCTGTGCGGGGCTGTGCAGCAGGGCTGTGCGGGGCTGTGCGGGGCTGTGCGGGGCTGTGCAGCAGGGCTGTGCGGGGCTGCGCGGGGCTTTGCGGGGCTGTGCGGGGCTGTGCGGGGCTGTGCAGCAGGGCTGTGCGGGGCTTTGCGGGGCTGTGCGGGGCTGTGCGGGGCTGTGC